AATTACTTATTTAAGTTCAACTAAAAATATGATAATGACTCGAATGTTGATTTGGAAATAATTTTGTTTTTATTATAATATTTTACAGGAGACGTACGTTTTCTAAAAACTTTTCTAATAAAACGTTAATAAATTAACATTCCACGTGAGTTACTTTTAAATATTTCTGCTATTTGTAAAACTTTCCGATAAATGAAAAGAGAGCCATTTTGCGGACTTCCTACAGATTGCTGGATTGCCGAATCCTCAAAATTGCATTGTCTTATAAAATGGAATTAATCCCACGATGCGTTATCTACACTGGAACATGAAAGATAGCACAGCTGTGTATTTGTTTGCGCGCCGAGTTCAAGGCAGCGCCGTAACAGGACACCGCCAGCTGTTGACTGCGACGATTCCGCTGACGGCGACCTCATCATATGCCTGTTAAATGGCAAGGCCGATATGTACTGGTAAAAAAAAGGAGGGACGAACAAAAGGTTTCCTTCTCTGAGGTTTACATTTGAAGGTATAGGTGTCACTATTTCAGTCAAAAGTAGTCAGGATGTCAGGAGTTACAATAGTTATTCACGCAAGTAAAGGTTATTAAGCTCGAGAGCTTTTTTTGGCACCGCTCGATCATTAGAACCCTCAATATCACCAACCTGTTCTTGTACATACAAGATTTTTATTTCTTCCAATTTTATTGTTTTACATTTACTTATTTACTAATTAATTATGTGTTTATTATATCTTTATATTATATTATATAAAATATAATATAAATAATATATTTCATCCCTAATTATTACACTTGTTCAGAATCCATGGTTTGTGTAACCTTGGTACCAAAACCATAGTTTTACGGCAGAGCGTCCGGCTGACCCGTAGCTGACCGTCCGTCGGTTGGTCCGTCTGTACATCTCTGAACGAGGCGGCGACTACGCCGTATTTTCATCAAAATTTATATTCTCAAATTGTTTTCAAAATTTTCTCAAGAATGAGTATAAATGTTTTTAATTTTTTTCTCGCAAAGTGAAAAATATCCGTATAAAAATGGCGCAGGTCCTATTTTAGTCGATTTCTCTTCATTTTCGAAAATTGCAAAAGTTTCAAGTAACCCATCTGCGAGGTTGATTAGTCTTTGGGTCTGCAACTCGCGTAAGGCGTGTATGTATTTTTATTTCTGATATCGTAGGGTTCCGCGCCGATATCAGCCTTCATTATATACTTGGCTGTCCGAGTGACGCCGCGTCCATGGCGAAGGTGCCGACGTTTCGGTCGCCATTCTGCGACCTTCCTCAGGGCGTAATGCCACGGAAGGTGAAGCGTAATGCCACGGAGGAAGGTTGCAGAATGGCGGCCGAAACGTCGGCACCTTCGCCATGGACGCGGCGTCACCCGGACAGCCAAGTGAATACTGACTCCGGCCGCGGAAGCCTACGCTCTCACTAGCCCAGCTCGTATTTTTATTTCGGTTGGTCGTGTGGGGGACATCTCGAGTCCTTGGAGGAATGAGGGACGGGGCTGGTGGCTGATGGCCGACGGCTGTTGCAGAGGAGGTGCCGCTGACGGCGGAGGAGCTGCAGGCGTTCCAGACGGCGGCGCGCATGGGCATTCACCGCACGGTGCACGCGGGCGAGGCAGGCGGCCCAGTCATGGTGCAGAGGGTGAGCAACCCCTTTACCCTCACACACACTCTTACCTTTGGGGCCTTAGAGCTGGGCCCGGCTGGGGCGCGCTCCCGCTACCTGCTGTATGTGATAAGTTTCCTTTTTACCTGGTTGGGGAAAACTCTGCTAGCCGACGTCTAGGTCAGCGTCGGATCTCGCTATCCAGCGAAGTAATATTATCTCCACCGCCAACGATAAACATATACTATGTTTACGGGAATAATGATATTAGCCTGAAACACTTATAAATCAATTGTTCCTCAAAGGTGATGCCCCACTGGCAGATAAGTCTGGAAGGGGGATTCACAAGCCAACGTATTATGAGTACATGTACTTTAAATAATTTCATATAAAGTTTCTTGAGAACTCAGAAGTTTTCTAAAAAACGAGCTCAAAATTTCACATTTTCAGAAACGCACAAATGCCAATTTCATAAAAATGGCTTCAAATTTTTTCCTCAAACTTTTCCAACTGTTTAATACGAAATAACGTTAATTTTGGGATATTCTTTTGTTTGTTTGTTTTTCTACAAATATATCATTTTGAAATATCACTCACGCCGTTAATATGCACATTTCTATCAAATTGTAAAAGCCGCTGCATTTGTGGTTTAAAGTACTTCAAATTACTTCAAATGAAGGTTTCGAAAACTCAAAACTTTTTGTGAAAAGGAGCTTGGTATTTTACATTTACAGTATCGCCTAAACCCAATTTTCTTAAAAATCTGTCAAAATTTTTCAATAAAAATTGCCATTGAATACGACGTTTTACTCTTCTTTAATATTCTTAAAGAAATACTACGGTTCTACAATTGAGAACCCTAAAAATCGAGGAGAAAATCAAAACATTAGACTTTTGGCGGCAATACATAGATTGCAGCTAGCAAGAGTATGTGGCAAATCCGAATACCTAGTCCAAACCATAGAAAATGAAAAACTAATACGAGAAAGTCCGTGCCATTCTGTATCACCATTAGTTATCTTTAATTTCCCTGTTGAAACACAATATTTGTAGCGTTTTTTGTGTTACCATTCGTTATTTTAATTCATTTACGATAATTTTATGATTTAAGTTTCTGTCATTTGTAATTTTGTTTTTCTACTTTCTACCTGATGTACTCCCAACTGGGCCACGAAATTGGGTATTTAATATAAAAATTTTAAGAGATTTGATTGTCTTTAATTATATTGTAAACCAACCCTCATCCGAAAATATGAAGACAGGAGTAATAATTATAACTTTTCTACAATTCTCTTTTTTGGTGATGTAATCGCAAGGATTCAGCTAGCACATGTTTATAAATTAAGATTTTAATTTACGTATTAATTGCTCTTTATTTTTGATCACATGATACGATTGCAGGCCGTGGACGACTACTTAGCGGAGCGCATAGGTCACGGGTACCACGTCGTAAAGGATAACTCCGTGTACAAAATGTGCCAGGAGCGCGACATTCACTTCGAATGCTGCCCTTGGTCGTCATTGCTGACAGGTTCCGTCAACCCAGGCATTTCGAAGCATCCCATCGCCAGGTAACTTTACTCTCTCGTTACGGAGGAAATTGCAAGTTTAAGGCAGTTTGCCTTCGAATTGTTCTGGCGCATTTGCGCCAATGATCACAACTTATTTTAAAAATTCATACAAAAATTAACAATTTCATAATGATAAGTTACTTTCGTTCTAGAATTATGATATTCCAATTTAGATTCACATGATTCCGTTGTAAAACTTGTTACAGGTTTGCCGAAGATGAAGTAAACTTCTCTCTGAACACCGACGATACTACAATCACCGGGATGACCCTGCAGAACGACTATGACCTAGCAGGCTCTTGGGGCCTCACAGAAGCACATGTGATTCGTGCGGTAAGTAAGCTACTTTCCGGGATGTGAGGCTTTGGTTCCTTTGAACGATATGTGTAATTCCTCAAAAACCGAAATATTGGGAATATCTTGATATTTTCTACCATTTAATATTTTAATATAATAAAATTGCCATTCCCAATATATTAATATAAAAAGTGACAATATAAGAAACTAGTCCAGTCACCTGTTCAAAATGAACCGACTCAGGAAAATAATTCTGTATTTTTTTCTCTAATTTCTTAACATTTTTCGGGCAATCTGAATTCGAATTTCAGGTATGCCACTTCGTGAAATGTTGACCTCACAAAGACAACTTTAAAAAAGCTTAAAATTTCCCACTTTTTAGTTTTTTTGTACAAATTTCTCTACCATATGTACATATTCGCTGTAATTTTAAAATATATTTTTCAAAAAATGGATACTTTTTAGCACTCTAGTTAAAACATGGGAAAATACTTTCCTGCTCTATTATCTCATATATATAATTTCGATAAAGCGCATAATTGGTGAGAAACTAAAACAAAGTGTGATCTTTTGCCATTTTCTTTGTGAAGCCGATCTTTCTCGAGGAACAAACTTCAAATTCGAATACAGCACCCCTATAATCGTACAGAACCGATGAGAATAAACTTTCGGAATTTTTCTGGTCTGGATTCCTTGTGATTATACTATCTGGAAAAGGTTTTTCACCACTCTTACGCTGTGAGATATTAAAGAAGAGGAAACGTTTTTGGAGATAATCAACCTTGGTATGATGTTCTGGTCTCTGTACCTCCCACCTGTAAGCGTATCTTTCAGCAAAATAAACGCGCCGTAGGATGCAGGCGACGCATGAAGTCAGACTTCAGTAAGAAGGACCAGAACGCTCGGACGCGAGCAGAGCAGCAAGCACTCTATGCAGTCTCGCATCCTGGGCTGCCGGACGCTCGAACAAGGGGCCGATATTCGCATGTCGACGCTTGTAATATATAGCGCGCCAGTAAAGTCTCACCTTGCAGCTGAAATTATTTTGGTAGTACGAGCTGAATTCAATTAATCCCTTATTTTACGTGGCGAGACCCAGGCCATGAGGCCTGCTCTTCCGTCTGACCACGCAAATTTCGCTACGCTCCTTTCATCAACTAGTAGAGAAAGGAGGTATTTCTTGGGCGAGAAACAGGCGATTTGAATTTAGCTCAGTGGCGTCATTTAGGCTTGAGGATCTTTTACATGCAAGTAAATCTACTAACATGGGTCAGTCGGCTTTACTTCCCCTCCGAAGGATTTTTTCGCCCTTGAACAATCCACGGCTTCGATCGGGTTTGAACCCGCCACAGTCCGGTACGCTAACCGTTACACCATCGCCGCACTGAGGCTTGATAACGTAAGTTGAGCACTCACCACAGTCATAATAGATGCTGGAAGTGCTGCCCCCTTGTTTCTCTGCGATCTGAAAGCTACAGTTATAAATCCAATTTTTAATAGGAGGCAATTGACAAGCAATCGACTTATTTTTCTTTCCTTCTCTAATTTGCCGAAGACTACAGTGCTGCTTTCTTCTTGTCCGCAGAACATCAACGCGCTGCGCTGCAGCTTCCTGCCGCAGAAGGACAAGGACGCGCTTATGAGCCGCTTGCTCGACAGCCTGGGCGTGATTCCCGAACGCAAGGCCAAGTGAACAGCGCGCGAGCCGACTCTCGCTTTGCTCGGCGGCCCCCACCCCCACCCCTTCTCATCCACACACACTCGCCAGGTCACGCCCCGCACTGCCCAACGATCCTTCCGAGGAGTTCGTGGGTGAGGCCGGACTTCTGTTGCCCGAAGACACTCACGAATATCACGTGACGCTCGTCTCTTGTTGGTGTAATGGCTGCCACATCTCGCTTTCGCTTCGTCGCGCAAATATCGTTGAAAATTGGTCGGAAAATAACTATATGTTAAGGTGCGTAATGGCAGTTTGACTTAATTTCGGAAAAAGTTAAAAAATTCAAAGTTTCAACGTAGTTGTTATCCCATAGTGAGGATGGTTTCGTACTGAGTTTGTTAAACACAAAACAATAGCTTCCGTCGAAGATCAGTGGATGGAATGAAACCCCATACGAAATAAAAAACAATTTTATTTTTTGTTGATGTGAGAAGTGCAACTATCTAATTAGAGTTTCATGTTTGTATTATATAATTTTAATCAGAATTATAAAAATAATTCGCAGATATAATGAATATTTGTGATTGTTTTGTGTAAATGTATGCCCTTGCTATTATTCTCTATTTTACCAATTAAACTGTTCCATAACTTGTTACATCATTTTATAACTTCCATTTCAATTTGTCTGTGCCCAACAGGTTTTTTACCTTTGACAATATAATTTCAAAAAAACATGTACATATACTCTTAAAAGTGCATGTATGATCATCCCTTGATTTTACAAAATGGCTTTTGTTAACCGGGGGCGCTTCTGTCAAGGAAGAATGCGGGAGAGAGAACCCGAAATCTACAGATTTCATATTGTAAATATGAAATCTACAAATTTCATATTGTAAATATGAAATCTACAGATTTCATATTGTAAATATTTTTTGAAATTAAATAATATTTTAAGGCATTCATTTTATATCTTCGTAACCATTTTATTATATCCTTATATCCATGAATATCTTCGTATCTATTTTGTTTTATCGAATTCGTCGTGTATGTAGAGAATGTATTGTAATGCTACAAAAAATAGATGTTGAGCTTTTGACGGAAATACACGCTTTAGAGCTTCCTGATGTCCAAAAAATGATTTTATTCAAAATTCTGTCCGACTGTAGCCATTACTAGCGCCTAAAGCAAATCTAGAAGTTTGTCCCAAAATGGATACTTCCCAATCTGTTCCGACTCAAAACCTTGAGAATTTGATTTTTTTTTTTTTATTTCTGTTAATATCTTGATACCTATTTTTTGCATCATAACATAACTAGCTCTATACTACTTACAAGAGGAAGTAACATGTTTGTACCATTACTTCATCTTCCTCTACTCTTTTAAGTTGGATTAAAGGTTTAATATTTTTAACTTTTGTTTTATATTTGTCTGTTAATTAATAAAGGTTTAATAATTTGATTCAATCTATTCTTTGTGTCCCTCTGGTTAGAAATATCCTATCATTTTGTCCAATAATTTATTTTATGGATGTCAATGCGTATAAAGATTAACATTAATACATGTGTGCTTAGTTTTATGTTTTCATTATTCTTAACATTGTGATAACTGGATGGGGATAATCCCCTCAAGCCTACGTAGGTCGGCGCTGGATCTCGCCAGCCTGCGTGGAAAGACCACCGCCATCTTCCGCGATGAAAATATGACGCGCCCGAAATCACTATCAATCAACCGACAGGGGGAGGGGGGGTCTTATACCGACTGCATCCCGCGACTTTTCCTAAGCCGTTTGCCTACCACCCCCAAAAAAAGCGTTGTCCTACTGCTTCCCGTTTTTCTTCTTAGAGAAAGGATTGATTTCTACGTTACCGTGATCTTATTAGTCGTATTGATCGATTATAATTTATCTAGTTCTGTCTGCAAGTAACACTTGCATGTCCTTTTAGAATACTGACAAACGTTCAAACCACTTAAAAGTTTGATAAAACAAAACCTGAAATTGTCATGAGCATTTTCTTGCCCCGCTGTCTTAACGTACCCAATTCCCAATATTTTGCCGTGTTCACCCGTGTTCGAGGTTTCCTCTCGACAGGTCCGAGAACCTCAATTTGCACTACTTGTGAATGGAAACAAACAAAAATTTACTCCTTCAGAAACACAGGTTGAGGGAAACGAACTACAGTCGGACTATATTCGACTTCTCTAATGACGAAAAGTAAAAGCTGTGAAGCGGGGGTAAACTCTCCGAGGGATGCAGTCGGGCGATCCGCGCGAGGAACAACTCTGCAGCGGACGTTACATGTTTCATTAGACATCAAAACTCAGAAGTCTCAACCAAAGAATCAATTGTATCTACATTTGCAAATTTAATTTTGAAACAAATGTCATAAATCTGATCACTTTTGTGAAAAGTGTATTTCTTAGTTATCAGAAATAACGTTTGTCTACTCGCATTGTACAATGTCATTGTCATTTGATGGCCGCAACCAATTGCATTATGATACTCATTACGATATAGATTCTTGACCAATCACTGAGAAGGTTACAAACCAAGTATTACTACGTAGTTAATCATTGAGAATCTATTTAGTAAATGTTTCGTTCGGTTGTGGACTTTAAAATTGCATGAAATATTATATTATGCTTAACAGTTTTAATACCATTCATTAGAAGTCATTTTTTCAGAATATTATTTAAATTAATTGGATCGCACTTTTACGTTGATTCTATTTGACTAGCGCAGCACTTCAGGTACCAAAGTACCAAGTACCATGGTACCAAAGCAAAGTAACGCTCTAATTGTTGAGGGGGATTTCATCATCCACCAAATACTTCTGATATACAAGTGGAAAAGACCGTAATGGTAATGAAGTAGATCTATTGAGTGATTGTGAAAGTGATGACAATAAGCTTTGTAAGTAGTAATTTTGTCTTTAAGAAAAATAAATTATTGCATAAAATATTTAAAAAATTATGCATTTTATAAGAAGAGTCCTCTTTTTTTCATAATGAAATTATGGTAACCAGCGGATATTTTCTTACTGAATAAAGAAACTCACGTTGTTATACTCATCAATTTTGAAATCAACTGGACAATTTGTTGTTAATTGTGGTTCTATGATAACGATTCTTAACCACACAGATTCAATTTACTAACCCAGTTAGCTATCCAATGTAAATGCCACGGTTCAACCTCCAGAACACCGTCTCTGAAATCCAAAACGTAACCAAAATAACGGCCAATTTGTAATGGAACTACACACATACATCCTTCTGGAAGGAAGTCTGCCCTATGTATGTTTGGTGCTGACGGTTTCATCTAACCGGGCGCTTGAAACTCACCCTGATTCCTGCCAGGGACAGAGTTGTATATATCGCAGTATAGGGAGTTTGTGCCACTTCGAACATAAAACACTATCGATCTCGTGCGAATGCGCAGAGGGACTAAAGTGGTGCGAAACTTAAACTGCGTATGCCCAGAAAATCGATAGTTTTACATTTGAGGTGACACAAACCCCCTTTTATCTGTAGCTCAACGAGGGAATGTCATCGTTTTGCCCACGATTAGCCGAAGTTCATTAAGCCAATAAACAGTTTTCCCTCAAGTCACACAAGGCCGGAAATCGCAAATCAAATTTTGAACTTTAAACGCACCACAATGTCTTCATCCTGGTACAATGTTTCTTCATTAAAATCCGTTAAAATCCTGGTACAAATACCAAGATCCTGGTACGTCTGGCAACACTGAGTGGAAGGAGTAGAGCATGGAACGGAATATGATATAGTTATTTTGGCTAACCTGTTTTGAGGCGGGAAGGGCGGGATTTGCACATTTGTTGCGTTAACTGGCATTTACTTGCTTATGTTATATTAATTATTTATGAGAACATTTCGTAATCACCGATAAGATTGTTTGTTTTACCAATTGTTACGCTTGCATATGTGGTGATCAGATTGTTTTGTCACTAAGAAATATTTGTACATCATTATCGAAGTGTGAATTCAGTGTACATAACGTAGTAATAATAATAATAATAATGGCTGAACGTAAGTATTCTGATATTCAAGATATTATCAATGGGCAAAGACAATATTGCGAATTGCTGAAGAATACTAAAGACGTGGTATTTGGTTTGAATGACGAGAACTGTGCACTAGTGACTGAACTTCGCCAAGAAGTTGGTTCAATGACAACTGGAATTAGTCGCTTGAGGATAGTTTTGTCTGAAATGAAAACTGAAAACGAAAAACTGCAGGTGAGATTTTCGTCTAATCACTATATTCAAATGATGCAGCATTCATGTATAGTATGTGCCAGCTAAACTATTATGAAAACATAATTTATGAAACCTTACCCATTTATGGGTGTCCAATATTTTATCTAATTTGTTTTCCTGATCTTTTCTTGATTATGTGGTTGTTCATCCACAAATGACAGTAGATTTTTGACTAGACACTCCCCACTAATTTTACATAATGTATTTACATCATGGTCTTTCATTTTCATTTCATTATACGTTTTAGAAATTGTATAAATTATTTATTAATCATCAAAAACTTGTGAATGTGCCGAATGTAAGCAAAGGATCTTCTCAACATTTGTTCAATGGACAAATAACCTAATCGAGATGGGTAATTTTATCAAGAAGCTATGAGAGAGAACTTGTAGGCATATTTAGGCTTTTAGAATTATTCAATCCAAATGGTAACTGGCTTTTACATCATATATAAAATGATAATATTCATTTATGATCATTATTATAATCTCTAATTGTACAGAAACAATTATGCAGTAGAAAATATTTTAATTGGATTTAAATAAATGTATTGATTTTAATTGTTTAATGTCATCTGGAAACGTATTTTCAAATAATGTATATTATTAATTTGTGAATTTCTTGTAGTTGCTGTTGAAACTGGCACCTGATGAATATGATTTCTATGATGTGTATTGTAATTACAGATATTTTTATTGGATGAACTATGAAGTCACTATCAGCATGAAGTAAGATTTTTTTTAACAAAATCTTATATGTAAATGAATGGGCAATGAATAGTCATATTCTAGTCCAAAATGACTAAAGTCAAGAGGTGCTTTATTTAAGTCAGGTGATTGGTGGCAAAATGTAATCTGTTTCTTTGTAGTTATTCTAAGAACTTTTCACATTGAAGGTTATTGTGTGAGTAAGTAGAATAAAATAATTAATGAAAATGTAATGTATAATATTTTCTTTATTTCAATTCATTTTTCTACAGTAATGAACATAATCAAATACATTTAAGCTCTTTACTACTGATAGGATTTGCATACAAGATTCTAGTCTGAAGGGATTAAAGCATGAAGTGTTTATGCAAAGATAGTCTGTTTGTCACCACATACAAAACGATGCACTAAAAATGTTAGATTATGTCAATTAGTGTTAGTACTATTTTCATTGATATTATTGAATGAAGTATATTGGGAAAGAAGAATTAAAAGAAAAGATAGTACAGTGCTCAGATTTAAAAAAGTCCAAGAATGTTGACTTTTCTGGCAGTGTTTGAATTGAAGTAAACATTCATAATTAAAAATAGTGAGAGGGAATTTTTGTACTAGTTGAACCTCTAGTACTTGTAATGTTAGGGAGAGTGAAGATAAATCTGGTCTATATTTTTTTTCTGACATAAGAGATAAGAGTTTTGTGGGTGATCTGTATGGGAACTTTAGCTCTTGAATTAAATAATGAAAATCACTTTTTATATAAGGTTTTTCTTTACAGCGAGGTAAATATTTTAATTACACCATTTACATTAAGGACAATAACAAATTTTCAGTGAACTCGAAACATATTAACTTTTAATTTTCTTGAGAATTTTGCCTTTGTAACTTTGCTTTTTAGTGTCTAGTAATTATTTGAGAGTATGATTTTAATTCTTCTGTCCTTGGTATTTTTTTCAATGTTTGGAATATCCTAATGAAAGCATCTTGTTTCATGGCTTGTAGCCCCAGGGTTTCAGGAAAGTAATCCAAATGAGATTGTAGGAAATTGATCATATTGAGACATATTATAGCCTAAATTTTCCTTCTTTTCAGCAACTGCTGTAGCAGATCCCATGTCCTAAACCAACGCAAAACACTAAATATTTCAACCTTTCCTCTAAATTTGCAATATTCATGAATATTTTTTAGTAGTAGTCCTATAAAGCCACTTTTCAACTATGACATCTAATTTTTGGGAATTTCTCTTTCAAAACAAAAGAAAAATTTTCTCTATTTGTCCATGGCAGACAAACCACTGTTTGCTTTACACCAGCCTCTCACTCAAATGAAACACATCCATAGGCAGCTAAACACTGCTAAGCCTATATTTCGTCCTCCCCTTCTTTGTTCATTCAATATCCTAAAGTTTTAGAAGAAGATTCAAACTGCCCTGTTATGAATGTGCTCTGGTCAGGAGCAGACCATGCTTTAGCCAACTCTGCTAAGTCTTCATGTGTCATTTAGGCTAACACGTTTTATTTAGCATGTGTATTGAGAATAAAAAATTCACGAGATATGACATTTGTGCTGAAAAAACCTTAATGTGATCTGCCCAGTTTTAGGGGCAATGAGCAGGAATAGATATTGTTTAAAAACAAAATTGTAAAAATTGATAAAGTAGTTATATCTTTAAAACTGTATAATGGGAAAATTTTGCTATCAAAAAGTTATTCATCCTCTTTTGTAAAGATAAAATGTTGTTGAATTATGCTTGTGGTAAAACCTGTGAGTACAAATGTAATTAGTGCATTGTATGTATTTTATTTGTAGGCTGCAATATGTAAACTTCAATTGCTAGAGAAATTCGTGGATGATATAGAGGACCACCCAGACTTTCAAAGAATATTTTGTTCTGTGAAGAAGGTAATTTATTAGTATTATTAGTATTAGTGTGGCACAAATTTTGATTTTGGTTGGCTCTTTATGATAGTGTATACTTTTCCAGTCCCTAAAGTTCTAATATTGTAATTTTATCTTGTTGTAAAATAATGAAGGTATCACCTACATTACCTGTCCTATAGAATTGTATTAATATAAGCAAACATTTTTTGTTCCATATTATAACTTTTTCATACATTCAGTCAATGTATTCAATTTGAATTGGAAGAAGAAGATAATTAGATCTACTTTCTTGATGTTACTATCTACGAACATTATCAAGTTCAAAATCAATTGGTGTTTTAAATGTACTTTTTCAGCATTAACACTGTATTTTTATCTGGTTTATCTGGTCATTATGATAATTTGAGTTACCTGTAATTTAGTAGATAGAAGTATTAAATTATCATGTCATCAGTTCCATATTGAGAATATTAATAAAGTGAAAACAATTCTTTTGGATAACCACTGCTTTCAGAAATTCATACTAATCTATATTAACTAATGTGTAAAGAAAGTTTAAAGAGTTCCACCCAACCAATCAAAAGGCAATCTTTCTATTGATTCTATGCAAACTCAATCCAATGTAATTATTCCATTTGTAAAACAATGACCATACATTACAACATTTAAAATCAAGGTACAGTATGAACATAGAAAGTACAATAATTGAGAAACCCAATGTTATCAAATATTGTAAAGATAGAATACCCAGACATGACATTGAACATCTTAAGTTTTTTTCGGTAATTACACATACTTTTTATAATATGAGGTCCAATTATTACAAAATTGTATCTTTATGTGACAACAGAATCTTCACAGTATTAATTGGGGCTGTCCAAAATTAAATACAGACTGGAGAAGTACATATTGTGGTTATTATTGTTATTGTTAAGAAATTTATATTACAATAAATTTTGTGAAACACATTGGAGTTGGTAAACATTTAACTTATTATATTATATATTTAGGAACCTGCCATGGTGCCAATGTCAGAAAGCAGACAATCCAAGAGACCAGTTTCATTAATCCCAGGGATAACAATTGCTGAACTTGAAAATGTACCATAGTAAGTGTTTATTTGTATTAGATATTTTTTCATTTAGAATCTGTTGCACTGATTTGGTTTTGGTGTATTGGTGAAAATTGTCCTCAAAAACATTATGTTAAATGTTTAAACAATTGACATTATATAAAAAAAATGGTTTTGTGCAATAAACCTTCTCAAAGAAATAAACTACCTTGTAAGTAAGCGACATTAGAAGATACATCTTCAAAGGATTGTTCATGAAATTAGCTGGATCCTTTCAAGCATCTAGACTTCTTAAATTATAGTTGCCATTGTTATTAAGAGTAAAAATAGCTTGTTACTAGAACCCAATATTGTGTAAACAGATTTGAAAACTGTATTATACAATGTAGATCCAATACTGTGCATGGGAAGAATTTTAATATTGCTAAGAATTTATTAATTCCAGTGGGCACACCATTGGTACGGGCATGAAAGGGTATGTGCAGGACTCAGAGCTGCAGTTACTACATGTATATTTTTATAGTTTTAGAAAGTGTGAATTGAAATGAAAAGTAGGATATTAACCACACACTTTATTTAATGAATTTTGTCTTTAATTTGAAACATTCAGAATATATTTGTAGTAAGAAATTAATATATTTTCATAATAATTTTAGAATGTTCGATAACTTGATCTGAATGAATCTCATCTTATTTCCATCTAAAAAATCTAAAACTGAATGTAAGAAAAGATCTATTCAAAACGTTAGTCTAGGTATATTAGCCTCTCATGGGTATTAGCCACTCTGAGTATATTGCTTTTCGGTGGGGAAGTACATGAAAAAATTTCCAACAATTTGTCAATTATGGAAGAAAAATT